TCTCTACACTGAAAAGTATTTAGTGTGCTTTATTTACAAATGTCCATCACCAGTACCCTGCTACTCTGTCATATATACTGCACACACACTGTATATATCAGTTGATCTCTATGTAAAGTTTATTGCATCTAAGGTATAGTAAAAGCATAGATCAGGCTTCATCATTTACACTCTGCTGGTCACCTGACAAGTATTTCTCTTTAGGATTTATGGAAAAGGATATAAAGAAAGTGTTTTAAAAGAAGAAAGATATCTATTAATATATAGCCCAACTGGCAACATCTGGGAAGTCCATCAATAGAGTTTTATTGCTTGCATTTGCTTGAAGTTAGGGTTTATTACATGCAATGTGTGGTAAAAGAATTATGTCATTTCTCACCCAATTGTTGTAACAGTGTGTACAGGGTGTGTTGCATCCATCACTCCAATAAAAGCCATATATATATATATATACGATTCATCTGATATATGGGTGCTAAACGGTAAATTAAAACAGATACTTTGCCAAAGTTTTAATGTGACTCAAAAAACTTCAGATAAAATAATCTTACGGGCATTGGAATATCGATTATCAGCATTCATTGGCTTATATATGGAATAGTCCAGTTTAATTAATATTTATACAGAAATCTAATATTAAAGCCATACTTATTTTGTTTTAAAGAAGAATACTCTGGAAATATTCCCTAACATTGTTGGGAACAGAGCTCCAAAGGTACGTATTGTGCCATGAGAAGAGCAAAACTACAAAGCATAGAAAATTCTGCACAAGCATTTTGGAAAAGGCAAACCTGAAACGAGAATTTTCCTCACTAATACAAAGAGAAGGAAATTTGAAAAAGACATAATATTAAAACTCTAGCAGAATATTCATTCTAAACTCTTATTTTAATTGCATGCCTTTCTATAAACAAACAGCTCACCTGGCCTCCTGCCTAATGTTATTTCATTTATCTTCAGAAATAATCACCCCGGTCTGACTCATCTTCTGTCCTGGATGTTCACAGATGTGGACATGTAATCATACTGTGGTTCCGTAAGTGATTTTATGGGAGCATACAATACAGGGAACAGATCTTTATAGGTATAAGTCAGCTTATGTATATGCTTATAATACTCTCTAAATTGTCTGGATAATGTACTTAGGGGTAACCATGGCTCCACAATGCTTTACTCATTCTCATGTGAAAGTAACTCCCTATAACTTTTCGGCATCTTACTTGTGTAATAAATTAAAATGGGGATTTTCTGTCACTTTAGTGTGGCTCATATTTTAGTACAGAGGTTGTCTCCTGGACTCACCTGTCTTTCAATTCTCAATTGCACATACCACCTCCTCCCATTCAAGACTGTGTAAAATCTCTTTGGCAAGAATAATGATTTCTTACTTGGAAAAAGCAATACTGGAAAAGAACCTCAATCTATTTCCAGACCTGCTTTACTTCAGTTTAGTAGCTGGAAAAAAGGAGGATAGCCTAGCCTTATCCAACCAGTCATTTCTCTTTAGACCAGAAGCAGGTGTTCCAAGGACTACCAGTGATTCATAAGATGTTAAAGATGAAGCTATGTGCAGAGAGAGTTTCCCACATGGTTTACCTTACTGAGCTTGGCTAGTTGCAAATTTTCTATCAAAGTTATTTTTGAATGAGAATGGAAATTTCACTCAATATATCTGCTTTCCACTGGCCAAAAAAATAAATGTTCCATTTTGGCTGAAAACTTTTTCAGTTTGAGAGATTTTGGTATGTTTTCCAAGAGGAAAAACAAATTCATTTTCCCATTCATAGACTCATAGACTACGTCTACACTGGCATCCCTTCCGGAAAAGGGATGCTAATGTAGCACGTTGGAATAGGCAAATCCGCGGGGGATTTAAACATCCCCCGCGGCATTTGCATTAACATGGCTGCCGCTTTTTTCCGCCTTGGGGAAAAGCCGGAGAAAAGTGCCAGTCTAGACGTTATTCTCAGGAAAATAAAGCCTTTTCTGGAGGATTTCTTATTCCTACTTGAAATTCCCCTTAACTCCTGTCAAGTTATCTTTCTGAATGGGTGCAACAAAGATTTGCTGTCCTTCCTGGTCAGGTCCTAGCTGAGCCAGGTTCAATCCTTTTACCTCCTTCCTCCAGGTTTGAAACTGCAGTCAGGCGTGGCTCATTGTACCAACATGTTCTCATTAACTCCTTTAGGCCCAGTATGAGGGTTGGTAAACCCCATCACAATGTGGTGTGATAAAACCATGCAGAACACATAACCATGAAACAAGGACAGAGGGCATCCAATTAAAAGAAATTGAACTGACTAAAATTCAAAACCGAAAAAAGGATATACTTTTTCACAATATATATGTAGCCCTTGGAATTCTTTGCTGAAAGATATTTAAGCTAAATCCTTAGCAAGATTCAAAAAGGTATTAGTCATTCACAAAATATTCATGATGATGAATGGGTAGAAAAAACTTTCTTGAGGTTAGGTTTTTCCATAACTCCCCACTGCAGAGTTTCTTCCACCTTCCTGTCATGTGACTCTGTCCAGTACTGGAGACGGGATACTGCAATAAATAGATCACTGGTCTGATTCAATATGTAAATTCCTATAATTCTAAGTGAAGAGAAAACAGTGTACACAGATAGCAGCCATATAATATCCTTGTTGTACAATCTCTTCTTCAGTTTTACCATACTCCTAATCTTCGCTTTCTCTAAGGTGTCTGTCTGCTGCTATCCCAGATTCTTTGAACAGTTCTCTGTTTTTATGTTTTGTATCTTTTTATTAAAATGGTTCAGAGGGGTAGCCAAGTTAGTCTGTAACTGGAAAGGCTTAAAAACCAACAAAAAGTCTTGCAGCACCTTAAAGACTAACAAAACATGTAGATGATATCATGAGTTTTCGTAGGCACAACTCACTTCTTCAGATGAATGATGTACCTTTCACAGGTCGGATAGGCCAGAATATTTAAGGATGAATCAAGCATTCCAAATATGTATCTATTTGATATTTAGAAAGCCTTATGCCTGCAAAGAAAGGAGTTACTATTAATATAAAACATATCTTGTATAAATATGTGCAGTTCTGAATGATATAGAATTCTCAGATAAATCTCTCTCTTAAATACACAGTTAATTAGAGGAGATGATGTATTTTAACTAAACTCCAAAAAACTCTGCTTATAACTAAAATTCTTGTTATTAATCCCTACATGCATAACCTTACACTTCTCACTGTTAAATTTCATCCTATTGCTATCACTCCAATTTACAAGGTCATCCAGATCTTCCTGTATGATATCCCGATCCTTTTCTGAATTGGTAATAGCTCCCAACTTTGTGTCATCCTCAAATTTTATCAGGATACTTCCACTTTTGGTGCCAAGGTCAGTGATAAAAAGATTAAATAAAATTGGCCCCAAAACTGATCCCTGAGGAACTCCACTAGTCTCTACAGTCTGCACTAGTAGTGGGCTCATTGAGAGGAGCTCCCATATACAGTGCATTGCAGTTATTCAAAAGTTGCAAAGACATACATGGCTATGGCATGGTCCACAGAGAACAGGTATGGACACAACTCCCTGTCCAGATACTGCAGTAAAAAGATATTGTTAACCACCAGCACAGTTTGGGGTTAGCTGCTCCCATTCCCCGCAATAGAAATTGCTGTATATCCATAGCCTGAGAAAATCAGATTACTTATCTGAGTTTAGGTGCCTAAGCATAGTTTTAAGATTCCAGGATTAGTAACTCTTTTTGTAAATCTTGACCCCCAAGCCAGGAGTATCTGAAGCATTGTAGCATTTGAAGGTAGCACATTCTGCCATTTGGGGAGGGAATACTTCATATTAGATTAAGGGCTTGTTTATACTACAGAGAAGATTGAAGCTGCTGCAGTAGATCTTCTGGGGTTTGATTTTGTTTATCTAGTGAAGACCTGCTACTTTGAACTCAGAGGATGCTCCTGTTGGTGCTGATAGTCCTGCTCTTCATAAGGAGTAAGGGAACTCATTGAGAGGATGTGCTCCCATCAACATTCCACTGGATGGACAGCACCAACACACGATTTAAGATACTTTGACTTAAGCTTTCTGTCTCCTGTCAAGTTATCTTTCTGAATGGGTGCAACAAAGATTTGCTGTCCTTCCTGGTCAGGTCCTAGCTGAGCCAGGTTCAATCCTTTTACCTCCTTCCTCCAGGTTTGAAACTGCAGTCAGGCGTGGCTCATTGTACCAACATGTTCTCATTAACTCCTTTAGGCCCAGTATGAGGGTTGGTAAACCCCATCACAATGTGGTGTGATAAAACCATGCAGAACACATAACCATGAAACAAGGACAGAGGGCATCCAATTAAAAGAAATTGAACTGACTAAAATTCAAAACCGAAAAAAGGATATACTTTTTCACAATATATATGTAGCCCTTGGAATTCTTTGCTGAAAGATATTTAAGCTAAATCCTTAGCAAGATTCAAAAAGGTATTAGTCATTCACAAAATATTCATGATGATGAATGGGTAGAAAAAACTTTCTTGAGGTTAGGTTTTTCCATAACTCCCCACTGCAGAGTTTCTTCCACCTTCCTGTCATGTGACTCTGTCCAGTACTGGAGACGGGATACTGCAATAAATAGATCACTGGTCTGATTCAATATGTAAATTCCTATAATTCTAAGTGAAGAGAAAACAGTGTACACAGATAGCAGCCATATAATATCCTTGTTGTACAATCTCTTCTTCAGTTTTACCATACTCCTAATCTTCGCTTTCTCTAAGGTGTCTGTCTGCTGCTATCCCAGATTCTTTGAACAGTTCTCTGTTTTTATGTTTTGTATCTTTTTATTAAAATGGTTCAGAGGGGTAGCCAAGTTAGTCTGTAACTGGAAAGGCTTAAAAACCAACAAAAAGTCTTGCAGCACCTTAAAGACTAACAAAACATGTAGATGATATCATGAGTTTTCGTAGGCACAACTCACTTCTTCAGATGAATGATGTACCTTTCACAGGTCGGATAGGCCAGAATATTTAAGGATGAATCAAGCATTCCAAATATGTATCTATTTGATATTTAGAAAGCCTTATGCCTGCAAAGAAAGGAGTTACTATTAATATAAAACATATCTTGTATAAATATGTGCAGTTCTGAATGATATAGAATTCTCAGATAAATCTCTCTCTTAAATACACAGTTAATTAGAGGAGATGATGTATTTTAACTAAACTCCAAAAAACTCTTTCCGTGTGACTGTCTGGTTTTGCAGGTGGAAATACTTACGGTCTCCTGCTTGTTGGTGATTATGTGACATAGCATCAGTTCCACTTTGATTTATTGCCACAATGTGTTCACAGTGTGTAGCAATTTTGAGTTATGATGAGGTGGTGTGAAGATATGTGTTTCAAACAAGAAAATACCCATTACAACGAATTCCATAATCTTCCTATTTCTGTTTGGAAATTTCAGCCATGGATAGCTGGTACCTTTTAGATAATAATAGTCTCTCTCATATCTTAGTCACCTGAAGTTTTAGATTTAATATTGGTAGGGGAAGCTTTGGGGTTGATTTTAAATGGGGGGAAGGATCTCACTATTCTGTGAGAAAATGACTGTTGCTGAAAATTAATGATAATGAACCAAAGGCATTAAGCTATCAGCTGCCTGAACAGCTAAGATACCAACACATTTGAATATCAAAGCTAAGAGTAAATTATCCCTATTATTTCTAGGTAAAAAGTGATACATTCTGAGCATCTGCTTTATCTAGGGAATTACACAATTTTTCCACTTTGAGCTGTTCACATCATGACAGACGAGTGTTCTGAAATTATTTAACTAGCTTCAGATTTACATTTTTTCATCCTTCTAATTATTGCACCCTAGTGAAAATACACTTGGACAATTTATTTCAGGGATGTAATTATTATCCTGAGAAAGAAATCCTGCCAGGTGCTGAGAACCTTTAATACCCACTGACAGTAGCAGAAAAGGAGGGGTTTCACAAGAGAACAAAAAGCTCTAAAAGTCTCAGAGTTTAGCTCATTTTCAGTCGTGTTTTTATGTCCGTAATTGTTCATGCTTGAAAAAAAAAAAAAGCAAAGTGCGTTGCATAACAGTTGCAGTATGCTGCAAAGAAATAAATGTAGCTTTATGCCACGGGATAGTGATATCACAGCAAAAAAGAATCTCACGCTGCAGACAGATACCATATCTATCATAAGAAACGCCATCCCAGGTGAAGAAAGCCTTAACAACGACATGGGTTATAATCAGAGCTCATACGGGACAAGGAAAGGACAGTAGAAACATATTCATTCTTGCAATAAAAATGAACATCTTTTCAAATTAGAATCAAACAGTCATGGAGTTTAAGGCCAAAATGGACCACCAGCCCATCTAGTCTGACCTACTGTGAAGCACAGGCCAGCAACACCACCCAGAACCCACACACATGACCCAACAACCAATATTAGTTCAAAGTATGACATTCTACAAGAGACTAGACTATTTATGTGCCATAAGCAGAGAATAGAATCAAACAAGATGTACCAAAGCCTGAGGACCCTATAAAGATAATCCTGTAGAGTGACCCACAACCTGAATGCTATAGAGAGGTAAAAATCCACCAAGGTCACTGCCAATTGATCTGGGGAAAAATTCTGTTAGACCAATGGTGGGCAACCTGTGGCCCGCAGACCAGACACAGCTCATCAGGGTTAATAGCTGGGAGGCCACCAGACAGGTTGTTTACCTTATAACTGCATATAAGGACTGCCATGGTCAGCCAATAGGAATTACGGGAAGTGGTGGCCAGCAATCCCTGCAGTCTGCACCACTTCCTGCAGCTCTTGTTGGTGGGAACAGGGAAACATGGTCAATGGGAGCTATGGGAGACATGTAACTGCAGATGCAATATAAACAACTTGTCAGCAGCCTGCCCGCAGTTTCACCCTGATGAGCCAAGTGTGGCCCATGGGTCAGAGAATTCTCAAGGCCATCTCAGAGCCCTGATATTCCCCATACAATGTCCTATCTCCATCTGTGGCCGTCGCTGATGCTTCAGAGGAAAGAGATTTAAAAATCAAAAAACAAAAAACCAAAACAGAATATATGGGGAGAGGGAAAAAATCCCTTCCCAACTCCTGAAGATGGTCATCTGAAATCGGTGAAGCCTGAGCTTTTTGAAACATAAGATAGAAACCAGAGGTGAGTCCCAGGGCTGCTGAGTTCCACCCTCAGCCATTATGAACAATCCTATCAGACAATCACATTCATAAATTTGTCCAGCTCTCTTACAGTTGATTAACTTGTTTGACCTGATGACTCACATTGGGAAGCTGCTCCAAAACTCCACCCCTCTGATGATTAGACACCTTCTTCTAATTTTCTGCCTGAATTTGTTCATGGCCAGTTTGTATCCATTTGTTCTTCAGCCAACATTGTCCTTTAGTTTAAATAATTTGTCTCTTGTATTTACTTCTCCAAAGTAGTTATAGAGAACATTCTTATCTCCTCCCAGACTTTTTCTTTTTAACTAAATGAGCCAAGCTCTTCCCATCTCCTCTCATTATGGAGATGCTCCATTCCACTGTACATCCTTTTAGGTCTTCTCTACACTTGTTCCAATTTAAAATAATCTTTCTTGAATCTTAATTCTAGTCTTCTTTTGCTATGATATAAACAAACCTTCAGCGGAGCTCCTGGAGGAAATTCAGGGGAGCTCATGGGAATCATCTGGGACCAAATAATCAAAATAAGCTTCCAGGTTTTCTTCCTTTGTATCATATTGAGGACTTGGTTCTTTTTTTTTTTAAGCAAATAAACTGAAAGTAGTCTTACCTCTTTGGTCAATATAAAGGCAATTCAAATTTCACTATATTCTGTACCAGACATCATTATTGTAATCTATGTGGCTATGTCTAGACTACAGGTTTTTTTTTAAAAAAAAAAGTGGCCTTTTTTCAAAAAAAACTTCACCTGCGTTTAGACTGCTGCCGTGTTCTTTTGAAATTAAATCGAAAGAATGCGGTATTTTTTTCAACAGCAGTAAACCTCATTTTACAAGGAAGAATGCCTTTTTTCAAAAGAGCTCCTTTGAAAAAAGGCATTGTTGACCACAAACAGAACTGTTCTTGCCCAAGAGGCCAGTGTAGTCAGGCAACATGATTTTTTTGCGCAAAAAAAGCCCTATGGTTAAAATGGCCATTAGAGCTTTCTTGCGCAAGTGAGCGTCTACACTGGCACGGATGCTTTTGCGCAAAAGCACATCTCTTGCGCAAAGGCACATGCCAGTGTAGACGGTCTCTTGCGCAAATACTTTAACGCAAAAACTCTTGCGTTAAAAGTATTTGCACAAAATCTTGCCAATACAGACGTAGCCCCAGTGTTGGCCAATGCAGTGTTGGCCAATGCCCTATGGCCAGGTGTAGATGCAGCTTTGTTGATGGAAAGCCTCAAGTTCTGTCTACACTAGAAACACTGCAGCGGAGCAGTACAGCCCTGGAAGGGGTGCTTAGGTCTCGGGCTTCCAGTTCCACGTGCAGGGATAGGAAGACTGGCAGAGCGTTAGAGTCACAATGCATGGAAGAGACGATAGTGTAGGGAGGAGGGGGTTAGCTTTATAAGGAACTGGGGAAACTTTTGGGATGGGAGAGCCTATAGAGGAAGGATGGGCTCCACCTAAACCAAAATGGAACTAGATTGCTGGCACTTAACATTAAAAAATTGTAGAGCAGTTTTTTTAAACTAAGAGACGGGGGAAAGCTGACGGTTGCAGAGGAGCACATAAATTGGAAAGAGACATCTCTTAGGGGAGGGTCTTTTAATAGAGATGCTCTTTGATAGAGATTCTCTAAGCTGTAGTCAGAAAGAGAGGAGGGGAGAGGGCAAACCATGGGCCAGAGCTGACAAACAACTGCATACAAAGGAATCCAATGCATCAGGGAAGGGCAGACAAATAACCAGTGGCAAATTTTTAAAGTGCTTGTACACAAATGCTAGGAGTCTGACTAATAAGATGGGTGAACTAGAGTACCTCGTATTAAATAGTGGTTTGGCTGTGCAGACATTGTTCAAGTTAATTCAAAATAACTGCTGTTATTTCAAATTAACTTTGTAGTGTAGACATACCCTGAATGTTTTGGATTACAGAAACTTGAAAGAAGTGTTCTCCCAGAAATGGACCAGGTGTTCCAGATAAGCCAAATAGAAAAAGTCGCTGAGGAAATCCCAGCACCATTCATTTAAGCAAGTATATAGTCAAGTTACTGAAAATGAACAATGCATTTTAATATGGGCCAGTTCCTCACATGCCTTCATGTGTAAACCTTCTTTTCTTCCCCATCAAAAATAACAGTAGACTAGTGAAGTCTTTGATTAGTACAGTATCTTAGGTTGTAAATTGATCTCTCTCTCTGATATGCACACACAAGGATCAATTCACCCTTCACTGGAGTAGACACAGCTATAGGGAGAACCACAGTTGCTAAATAACAATGAACAACCATCCTATATTACAGTCCAGGGCCAAGAAGAGTGAAATTCACCACACTGTAAAGGACTGTGGTGCTGGAACAATTTTTATAGTGGGGTTGCTGAGAGCCATTGAACCAAACTGTGATCTCTGTATACAATGAAAATCCCTTCAAACCCGAGGGTACTTCAGCACCCTCCACAACCCTAGTGCCAACACCTAGCTATACCTAGCTCCATAAATAAGTGCTTTATGTGTGTCCTCTACTGAATAAATTCCCTGAGCTAAATAAAAACACATGGTCAGATTTCTGAGTGTGAGGCAAGCAGAGCCAGACTTGCAAAGGGAATTAAAACCAACAGTAAAAGGTTCTATAGCCCTATAATTAAAAAGAAAACAAGGAAACATGAAGTAGGACCAATATGCATTGAGGATGGGATGGAGATTAAAAATAAAGTAGGCCTCCCACCTAAACAAATACCTCAGTTTTTAATAAGGGTAAAGAGAAGTTTAAAAGTAGTGGCAGATTAGCTAACAGAACTGAGGATATGGAAGTAGAAATTACCACATTGGCAGTGGATGTCAAACTCAAACAGTTTAATGTCAAACGGAGGTGG